TCTAATCACCATATAGATATTACAATTGTAAATTCTTCTAATCTCCATATAATATACTTTCAAATACACTGTATACTCTCTGCTTGTGCTTATGATTGCTTAACTTAATAAGTTCACTAACTAACTGTCGAACTGTCTCCTGTTTAACTTCTTAATTAACTTACTCCATACTGTCCCACTGTTAATGTCTTAATTTACTCCCATACTTTCTTGAACTAACTGTCTTAATTAATGAATTAACTCCATACTGTCACTATAACTGTACTAATCAACTCTTATAATGTCTTACTGTAACTAACTTAATTTATTATCATATTCTCCAACTGTAACTGACTTAATGAATTATAACCGTCTTGAACTAACTGTCTTAATGAATCTAATCTCTCATACTGTCACTAACTTAATGAATGAATGAGTGAATGCTTGCTCCAAATTACATCGTATTTATATCTTTTCATCGTTCCAGAATATTCGGGAAAGAAATCATGTCCAAATTGTTCTATTCCTAGACATATCTGAATGTTCTCGAATAGTCTACTCCTCAAATAGGGCTAACTTCCCTATATTGACGTATTATTTAAATGCTCTAGAGAATTCACTTTTCACAACTTTTCTATGGATAATTTAATGGACATTTAGGCTTTGCAGATCAGAATACACACTTATATATAAACTAAACATTTTAAACTAATACATAACAATATTTCATATCCGTAATTATATGTAAATTAAACATCCCAAACTAATAAATAACCCTATTTCACATCCTTAATGACTCAACCACAGAATAATAAACAATCAGAATGCCCACTCTCCATGGAAAATTAAGTACGCGCATCTCCTTCGCGGAGACGTTCCGCCATGTTTTAGAGGGAACCAGTGTTGTTTATGTGGTGTACATAGAAAAATTAACCCGGTTTAATTGACTAACGGCAATCATAGACATACTATACAATTATATTAACATTGTTAAATATAATAACATAAATATAATATAATTAAACATAAATATAAACAATTACATAACCTCACAAATCATATGTCTGTCTTATGTGTTTCCTTCTAAAACATGGCGCGCGTGCTGAAAAACTTCAAAGGCGGCATCTGAGAGTGGACATTCTGATTGTTTATTATTCTGTGACTCAACTGTCAATCATTCAGTGTATATTTGGTTGCCTATGCACATGACTCACTTAAATACATTTACCATTAAAATAAAGTAATAAAAAAAACTTTTCAAACTTATTACTATGCTAAATTCTTCAAAATACCGTCATATAATTATTTTTTTTTATAATATTCGCTAGTATATAACTTATAAATTATTTCTTTAATCACTATTTAAGTTTATTAATTAAAAATCATAATATTACTATGCTAATTTCTTCTATATCTATTATCATCTCAATATATATAATATAAATATATACAAACTGTTTGTATTTTGAGAACGATTTCCGAAGTGGAAATTGAAACGTCAATAAACGTATTTTTATCTTTAATTGTGGCTTATTCCCAGTTAAATATTAATTAATTTAAAATGCCACAAGAAAATAGCTTCAGAACAATACTCAGTGATTTAGGAAAGACAAAACATCTTATGCGCTTACTGTAGCTCCAAAAAGTCGGGCTTGGTAACTTTTTTACAATTTGGTCAAGTGCGACTTCACCCATGTCTTCTTTTTTGGCCACTTAAAGGTTTTGTCATCTCTTTTTTGGGCAAATTTGATTTTAAAATCCCGTTCTTTCTTCCCGTTATCTGTCCTACGTAACGATGGACTAAGTTTCTTTCGGAGATAAAGCTTACAATTACCCAATCTTGCACACTCAATTCAAACTCGTCACCTTCTGCTTCTGATTCACATTCAGTAACTGTCTCTACTTGCATTTCATCTTTAGGATCATATTCAGACTCTGACGATGGTAGCATAATGTCACTGCCTCCCGAACTTGAAGATTCCCTCAAATCCTTAAGTTTTTGTTTAGTCATTTTTTTAAGTGCTCTTACTTTGGCCTTTTGGTCTTTTTCTAATTTTTTTTCTTCTTTAGCTCTAACTTCAGCGCAAGTTTTTCTGGTGAAGCTGTAAGAATTTTTGTAGTTGCTGGCTTTCTACCGTTTTTTGAAGTTCTGGGCTCGGCTTTAGGATGAGGTCGGATCATTTCTGGACTACTAAAAGTGGCAGAAGTGAAAGGATGGTGATTGTGCTCCATTGATGTTTGTTGTAGCTGATCATTTTGTGAAGTATCTTTATTTACAGGATGTGATCTAATTATTTGAGGTGTGGTAAAAGTACCAGTAGAAGTAGAAGGCTGGTTTTTGCCCTCTATTAGTGTTCGTCGTAGTTGTTAATTATGTGAAATCGATCCAGTCGAGGAAGATGGTTTAATTATTCCAGGGGTGGTGAAAGTACCAGTAGAAGTGGAGGGTTCGTTATTGTTATCTATTGCTGATGTTGCAAGATCAAACTGAGATAAAGGGAATTATTTTCAGGATCTTCGCTATCAGTAACATACGCTGACATAAAATCTTCATCGGTAAAAATATTAGAATTGAAACGCCACTTGAACTCTGAATCTGCTTTCAATATTACGTGGAGTAAATGCTAACGGGAAAGCATAAGCTAAGCATCCTCCGATTTCGTATATTGTAATTGTCCTTCCTGGGTGGGTCACCATCCAATCATCACAGGCAGTATTATAGAAACTCTTGAGAGGGCCAAATACACACCTGTCTAACGCCTGGAGCTTATGCGACGTGTGTGGTGGTATGGTAAGAGGAATTATTCCGTGTTCTTTGGCATACGTTATGGCTTCGAGAGTAACGTGGCTATCATGATTGTCCATTATGATTAGACATTTATTGTCGGTAGTCGCCTTTACATGTTTTTGAAAATGTTCCAAAAATTTGATAAAATTAGAAGCGGTCATCCATCTACTTTCATAAACTACCCCGGTAGTCCTTGGTGGGCTATTATCAATCATGCGATCTTGCCAAAGTTTTCGAGGGAAAACCATAAAAGGCCGTATATGGTTTCCAATTGCATTGATTGCACAACAAACAGTTACTGTTGCTCCACGTTTCTCTGACGTAATTTTACCAACGTGCTTTTCACCTTTGCGTGCAATGATCTTCTTTGGCTTATGGACAGTGGAAAGTCCAGTTTCGTCCACGCTCCAAATTGTTTCTGGTCCAATTCCATAGTTTTCAAGAACTGTCTTTAAATTTTCAAAAAAGTTTGATACATTATTTCTGTTGAAACTAGTTGCTCTAGAAAGACTAGTTGCTTCCGGAGAGCATAGTGATAAGGTCTTCATCCTCTTCAGAAATCCGTATAACCAGTCGTAACTGGCTTGCTTATGTTTATTCCACGAAGCAGGTATTTTTTTACTATTTCTTACGGCAAACTCGTACGCCAGTTCTTTTGCTTGTTTTCTTGTAAGGCTATTGTGTAATTTGCTGGCAACATCTAAATAACTTTTAAACATATTTTCCTCTGCATTTGTAAATATTTGAGCCTTCTTGTAATCGGGAGAGAAGTATATTTCAACATTTTCGGATCGTTGTCTGCGAACGTATCTTTTTAATGTCATAATATTTATTTGAAAACGACTTGCCGTTCCCTTGAGAAACGTACCGTTATTAATAACGTCTAAAACAGCTTCTTTTAACCTCTGGCTGTCGACTGGTGTTCTTTTCTTGGCTCCTTCCCTCCTTTTGTATTGACGTGGAATATCTATAAAATAAAAAACATTCATCTATAACACCGACTATAAGGAGTTTCTGGGAGACTTGATCCCGGGATCATATCTCCCAGATAAGAAGGAATCAAGTCTCCCCCAAAAGGCCATTTTAATATTTTAGTCTATAAAATATGACAAAAAACTATGCAAAACGTAAACTAAATGATTATGGTGTTAAATAAAAATTATACGAAACACTCACCTAAAAAAATAATTCTGAAAACACTTCTCCGTAGGGACAAAATAATTGTAATGAACACGTGGTCTTCGTTGTGTATTCTAACGAAAACTAAATTACATTGGATCCACTGCCATACTAACAACTACGTTATGTTGCCGGTTTTAAAATTCTAGGCTGCTTATATACTGAAATTTTAAAGAGTGATCAAGTCTCCCATATGATCAAGTCTCCCTCTTCTCCCCTACATATAAGGAAAAGGTTAATGCGAATGCGAGTAAAGAATAAAAGTAAAATTTAATGACAGGTCTCGCAAAACAGGAAACCAAAAAGGGTATATCGATGGAAGGCAACCGTATATACAGTATTTCTGACTATTGGTCGTCTTGAATACGGTGCAGACAAGTTAGCAAAGGAGCATGTTAACTTGGAAAAGTATCACTACAGGACCAATGCGACCAATTTGTGGCATTAGAGTTAGAAGACCCTGCTGGTTTCCAGGGCAACAACTAACAATAACCACTACAGCTACATACGTATATACGATATACCTTTTTTGGTTTCCTGTTTTGTCAGACATGCCATTACATTTTACTTTTATTATTCACTGGCATTAACCTTTTCCTTTTGTTTTAAACGTTTCAACGTTTGGCATTCCTCTCCCCAGATAGCTGTAGCTTCATGATTTTTGTTAGTTGTTGCCCTGGAAACCATTAGGGTCTTCTAAAATGCCCCAAATTGGTCGCATTCCTCCTGTAGTGATCCTTTCTTAAGTTAACATGCTACTTTTCTAACTTGTCTGCACTGTACTGAAGACGACCAATAGTCAGAAATACATATATACATATATGACAGAATCGTATCTGGACAGAAACAATTTTTGTTTTGGTGAATGAGGAAATGTTTCAAAGAAAAATTGCACGCAGAGGTTTGAAAGACATAGAAAAGAAAGGTTTATGGAGTTAAAGACGTTAAAAGTTTAAAAAATTGAAGACACTAAAGAACTTCAGTATAATTAAACAATTTCGTTACTAAAATTCATAATTTATATATTTTGTTTCATGTTAATACTCTTTTTTAGGAAGAAATATATCAAGAACTATTAACAGTTGTGGGAGAATCCGAAGAACCCTCCTACCAAGAATTAGGAGATCTAAAATATTTGGAAAGGTGTATCAAGGAAAGCTTACGATTATATCCAAGTGTGCCGATCATAGCCAGAATAGCGGGAGAAAATATAGAAACAAAAACAGGATATACGATTCCAAAAGATTGCAATGTGTCTATTTATATATACGATATGCATCGAAGACCGGAATTTTGGGAGAATCCCGAGAAATTCGACCCTGATCGATTTTTGTTAGAGAATGCCATAAAAAGACATCCTTTTGCTTATATACCTTTTAGTGCAGGAAGTAGAAATTGTATAGGTTAGTTTTCATAAGTATAATTACAATGCATAAGTAATGCATTGTAATTATAAATAATAATTACAATGCATTACTTATATACTGTATGCTGTGGACTTCACAATTGAAGACAAACGTGCATGAAGTATATATGTAACATTTACAAATTTTTAAACCAAAAATTGAGATTGAAATAAGGTGAATATAAATGAAGTTAAAGTCATCAAATCATTTTCTAAATTTTTTATTAGAAAACTTTCTTTTTTCCAGTTTCACCTTATACTCTATAAAAGGCCTCTGAGCCAATTATAGCTGGTCTTTTATTCACTTTTTTTTATTCCGGTCCCTTGTTAAATGTGTCCTTTACAAATTTCTAAGAAACTAACTCAAAGCTAGATGCCCTCTGATTTTTTTAAATATTAGTATACATAATCTGAATCGTCACTGGAATTCCTGCTACCCCATTCTATAATACTGTTAAATTTTTATATTTAAAAAAATGGTAGCGCGATAAATATTAATCAGCAAATTTGATATGTTATCATTATCTCGTCAAGTTTTCTGCGCCATTCTGCTTTGTCCCTTGCTTGGGTTTTCCAGTTGGGACCACCGATCTTCTCAAGTATCCTTTGCTACGCCATCTATACACCTGAGCTTTGGTATGTCTCGTCTTTATATTCCCATTGGCTCGCTGTTAAAATCATTTTCATCCCTATGCTAAATGGTTATAGTGGTAATATCTTTTTTACCAGAGTTATGCTTGTCGATATTCTGTAGTTCTAAGTTATATCTACACCTCCATATTCTGTTTTTGCAGACCGCTCCAAATATTTTGCATACTACCTTTCTTTCAAAAATCGATAGAGAGGATTTGTTGGTTTTGATTAGGGTCCAAGCCTCTGAGCTATGTGTCAGAAACATGTTTACAGAGTAAGCGAAACATGTTTGTAAACACATGGAACTGACCCACGTTAACATTGTTTAGCACTAATCTAAATTAAATACTACGATTTTGTATAAACATGTTTTAGATATTAAACTCAAATTGTAATTGTAAATATAGAGTAGGTTTTGTAAATTGTTAGAAAAAAAAAGAAAAAAAATAAAAAAATTTATTTTTAAAAATAATAAAAAAAAGTAAAAAAAAAAAATAATAAAAAAAAAGAGAAAAAATGAAGAACTTGGACAGTCCACAGTAAAGTAGCTATCGAATTAAGTAGATAGCTGCAGAAGAGTTTACTGTGGAACTCTGAGGACCTCCTCACTTATTTTGTATATAAATAACTAAAAAACAATTAATAGAAAAAAAACTATATATTAGAGATCAACACTAGTAATAGTAGGATTAGTATTAGTAGGAATTTAGTATAAGATTATATAGGAAACAATGACTAATGAAAAAATGAGTACAAATTGTAAGATTGGCGAATGGATTTAGTGTCCGCAGTCATTTAAACACAAACAAACAACAACAACAAATACTACGGTTCCAATAATTCTACATATGTACTGTATTTATACCTATAAATATCCAAATACCTATGACTCCTCAATGTCAACTTCATGTTTGTTTATGCCATCGAGCAAAAAGACAAAAGAGGGAATCTAATCGTTATGAAAAGGAGACCAAAAAAGTGGCCTCTGATGGCGGACATATCCGGAAATGCGAATGCGCCAAATTTAAATTTTCGACACTTATTAACAGTAGCTATAAAATAGTTTTCAGAATGTGTCTTAGACGAGAAACTTTGAATAAATATTAACGATAACAGTCTAAAATGTGACACAAATGTTAAAAAACTTCAATATAAATAATATTTCATGTGACAGTTGGGACAAACAATAACATAACCCAACTAAATTTGATTTCTTAAACCAGGAAAGACTCTCTTTCCTTGTTTAATGTGGCCTCTCAAGATGGCACTTGCTGTTTAACAATATTTTTGCCCCCACTACCTTTACATTCCCTCTTTTGTCTTTTTGCTCGATGGTTTATGCACAGCGTCCACTGTAGGCGGCCACCAATACGTTTAACCCAGGTCAATATATATTTAAATATTAAACATTTATCTTCATACTAAATATGAAAAAGTAAACCGGGCATACCTTAATTACTTCGGCCAAACAGTGAGAAGAACCGGAACTATGGAACTATTGGTAGTAGAAGGAAAGATAAAAGGCCGAAGACTAGGGGGAAGATCTCCAACATGATGGGCCGACCAAATGAAAACTCTGTGGTAAAATCCCTATATAAACCCTTCCATCTGACAGATGATCGCAGCCAATGAAGACAGCAAGCTAACAATATATAATGTCACCACGCTCTGACAAGGGCTCAAAGAATGAGAAGGGATTATTTTAATTTTGTTATTTTTTTCAAATTGTTTCTTCAATGTCGTCGAAGTGAAAATTATTGAGTATTGTTTAATTGACTTCCTTTGCTGTTACAGCCTATTTGGCATTCAATAGGAATGAAGTCTGCAAACGATCTACTTTTATACTTTTCTGGGGCATCATAGCTTTCTGTGGCATCATACACTTCTGTGGCATAATACCCTTCTGTGGCGTTATTTACATTAGGAATCCTGTCTCTTTAAAACCCCTTTATAGCTTTCTCTGGTATAGCTGAAGTAATTTTAACTTTTCACGAGTAATTAGGATTAAGACATGCAATAAATAGTTCTTTACTGATCGATCTGTTGTCTGAGCAATCATAAATTGCTCCTGGGAACCATCTAAATTTTGAGTGCATTAGTAAACATAAGCGGCACATATATTCCTGAACTACCTACTAAATGCACACATTGCCGTAGTTGTCTTTCTTTTTTCCTAGATTGTAGCGAAACTAACTTTTTCTGACCCTTTTTCATAAAAACCTTATTTGGGTGCTGAATAGTCCATTTCGTTACAGTTGTAAATTCTTTCAGGTAAAAATTTATATTTTTCCAAAAGAAACAATAAATTTTTGAAAAAATGGATACTTCTATTTAGACTTGTGCACTTAGATCTGGTTAAAACGATTTTGTGACGAGACATGAATCGAGATATCCAGTGCTTTTAACTTTCTTTCTTTTCTTGGTTAAAATAGGTTTTTATGTTTAGATTTTAAACAAAGAGTACAATCTTTAACTTTTGTAGGCATTAACCCAAAAAAAGAGTATAGCTAGTTTATTCCGTTAATTGGCAAGTTATTTTTCGGCTTCTAACGAAAAAACTGGCTTACACCCTAAAGTAGATGAAGATAAATCATTATTTTTTTTACCTTGGAATATTACACCTCAAAAAAGCTTATCGTTCTTATAAGATATTTTGGATAGCATGTAATGCCCCTTGTAGTCGCTTGACTTAATTATTTAAGAAAATGTTGTTCCTACGTCAATAATACTGGAGTTAACAACTTTAAAACAGCTCTTATTTCCATTCTATTTCTTACCTTCATCATTTAGCTCCTATTTTGTTTATGTCTCTGAGAGAAGATACATCCACTGAAGATTCTTCAGTAAATAATACAAGTCAATATATATATATATATATATATATATATATATAATAAATATATGTAATATATATATATATATTATATATATATATATAAGCGAGGTTCCTACAGCCTCTGCCGTTTCTCGCATTTCGACCGCCATCGTTTTCTGTCCATCCATTCGTCTTCTCTGATGGCTCTATCTCTCATTATGTGCCGTACATTTTCTTCCCAGGCAACTGAAGGCCTTCCCCTTCTTCTTCTTTGTTGTGGTATGTAATTTAAAGCTTTCTTTGGCCATCTATCTTCATTCATTCGTTTCACGTGACCATACCACACTAGTTGTCTCGTTTCAATTCTATCTACACTGGAATATACAGTATTTGTCCTCCTTCTAATATCTTCATTCCTGATGTGATCTTTTTTGGATATACCACACGCTCTCCCTAGAAAATCCATTTCTACTACTTCTATTCTTTTTCTATCCTTCTGCGTTATCTGCCAAACCTCTGCCCCATAAGTCATAATAGGCTCTACCAAGGTTCGATAGATTGTCAATTTCGTTTCTTGTCTAATATCTTTAGACCAAAGTAGAGAGTTTAGAATGTTTACCACTTTTTTTCCCTGCTGTGTTCTGTTTTCGATGTCTCTTTTGGTAGTGCCTTCTTTAGATATTATAGATCCGAGATATTTATATTCATTGCATGTTTTTGTGTTTCTAATTTCTAACTCTGGATCTTCTTCACCATCTCCTATTTTAAGATACCCTGTCTTTGCCATATTCATATTGAGGCCCCATTTTTCATATTCTTTCTTTAGTTTTCTAAACATGTAGTCCATGTCTTCCTCGTCATTCGCTACGACTACCTGATCATCTGCGAAAAATAAAGCTGTTAGACATTCACCACCGCCTATGTCTATTCCCATTCCGGATACTTGTTTTCTCCACTGCTCTAGCGATGATTGAATATATATTTTAAACAGGGTCGGAGACAGACAACATCCTTGTTTAAGCCCTTGGTTATTGGAAATGATTCAGATATAAAGTTTCCTTCTTTAACGACACTTCTTGCATTTTTGTATATATTTGCGATAGCATCCACATACTCTCTACTGAGACCTACTTTCGTCAATGTATAAAATAGTTTTTTCAAAGGTACCGTATCATATGCCTTCTCTAAATCTACAAACAATAGGTGGGTAGATAGATTCCTTGCCTTCCGTTTTTCGATTACCTGCTGCAGAACGAATATATTATCAATGCACGATCTTCCTGCCCGAAATCCATTTTGTTCCTCTATGTCTTCATATTCTGATTCAATTCGTTTTTTTATTATTCGACCGTACAACCTCCCAACTGAGCTAGTAACAGTTATTCCTCTATAATTAGAGCAATTGCGTTTATCCCCTTTTTTGTATATTGAGCTGATGTATCCAACATTCCAATCATCAGGGATATTTTGTCCTTTTAAGCATTTATTAAATAGTTTAACCATCATCTCGTGTAATATTTTTGGTCCATACTTTACCAACTCAATTGGGATGTCTCCAGGTCCTGCTGCTTTACCGTTTTTCGATCTTTTGGGGGCATCGCTTAACTCTCCTGTTGTTATCTCAATTATTTGTGTATGTTCAGATATTTCTTCCATTTCGATATCTTGGAATTTACGTCTATCCTCTGTCAATAAGACCTCATAATGCTGTTTCCACTGTTTCAGATCTATTAATTTTAAGTTAGATTTTTCCTTTCCTTCCCTCCGGAGAGACTTTATCACCTTCCTCGCTTGCCCAACTCTTGTTCCACCCATATACCTATCCACCTCTGCACATCTTCGATCCCACATCTCATTTTTACTTTTCACTACTTCTCTTTTTACATCTCGATTTAATTTCGTATATACCTTGTGATCTTCCTCCTTTCTCGTTGACATCCAGTTTCTGATAAGCAGTTTTCTTCTTGTTTACTAACGTTTGCATATTCTCCGACCACCATTCTTGATTTTTTGTTTCATGTTTGTCTTTATACCCCAAAGCTTCACTTGCAGCCTCATGAATGTACTTTTTAAGTTGTTGGTATAATTCTTCCGCTGTTATATTTTCTCGATCCACATTTTGTAATTTAGTGGCCAGTCGTAATTTGTAAAGAAATTTTGTTGAATCTTCTTTTAAGCTTTCTAGGTTATATTTAGGAGATGTTACTTTTTGTCCCTTTTCTATATTCTGTACCTGAGTGTTATTGTTTTTGCGATAGTTAACTATCACATTGGCCATAAGTAAATGATGGTCGGATCCACATTCTGATCCACGGTATACCCTTACGTCAGTTGTTTTCAGCTGGGAAGTTTGACGTTGGATTACAAAGTCGATTATCGAGCGCAGATTCCTAGTAGGTTGTATCCATGTAAATTTGTGGATGTCTCTATGTTGAAAAAATCCATTCATAATTTTGAGAGACATTATTTCACAACAATCTCTAAGACGCATTCCGTTGTCATTGGTTATTTGTTCTCCATATCTTCCTACGACTCTGCTATTTTCTTCTGTCCCTACTCTGCCGTTTAAATCTCCTAGTATAAAGATTTCACAGTTTTCTTTAACTTCAGAGAGTATTTCATTCATATTGTCGTAGAAATCGTCTTTACTTTCTGGATTTGCATCTTCGTTTGGGGCATATACTCCGACAATTACGATATTGTGCCCATTCTTTTTCATTTCCAGTATTAGTAGTTGTTCATTTACTTCAGTCCACGATTTAATGTTGTTTTTAAGATTTTTTCGAATGGCAATAGAGACTCCCCTCTTAGCTCTGTTATCTTTACTCACTCCGCTGTAGATATGTATATATTCTCCTATCTCTTCATTTCCTTTTCCCTTTTTCTTGGTTTCTGTGAGAACACATATATCTATTTTTCTTTCCGCTAATTCTTTGAATACTTCTGCTTGTTTGGTTCTCAGTCCTTGTACATTCCATGTAGCCAATATCATTTTCCTTTTTCGTTGCATTAGTCGTCTTTGTGTTGATCCATCCTTTGTATTCCGAGGCTTTTGGTCGAAATTTTTAGCATTAATTTCTTTTGACAAGGGACGAGTTGCTAGCCCATCGCCTCAACCCTCCTCCTTTATCCGGGCTTGGGACCGGCATCGGCATTTACTGAGCTACTCAATTCACCCAGTACTTACCGAAGGCGGAGTTATACAAGTCAATATTAGGCCATTATTATTTTAGTGTATTGAGTGTGTGTTAGTTTGTTTTATTAAATGGACGATAAATAATGGAAAACTAGTCTCTAGTAAATTAAATAACAATCCAGTATTAAAGGATAGTTAATTTTCGGATTCAGTCTTAAATTTTCGGCATCCTATTATGGCTAGAAGTTGAACTCCGATGATAGCCTAATGCGTAAGACTAACGATTAAAAATTGTTTATATTTCTAAAAAATATATTTTCCCTTGTCTATCCAATGTGTATTATTAATTTTTTTTATACTTTTAGGACAAAGATTTGCACTTTTAGAAATCAAAGCTGTTCTGTGCGGAATACTGCGAAAGTTCAAACTGGAACCAGTCACCAGACCTGAAAATATTGTTTACGCAGCAGATTTAGTATTAAGACCTTCTGGGGAAATAAATGTTAAATTTGTACCAAGAGTTTAAATAAAAGTTTACTTTAGATGTTAATTTTTTAAAACTTGTTTTATAGAAGAAAGCATAAGAAAACCTCTATAGCCTAAGATTACATGACAAACTGATGAACAAATAAAAGAGTGTGTAATGAAGCAGCCCAGGAAGTCCTATTATAGGATAATATTGTAACGAACATGCTTATTTCGACGTACCCCATGTAACGGTTGCATCTCGAGATGATGATCTGTGCGTTAAATAAATATAAATATAAATAAATTAGAACCGCTGGTTTCATTGAAACACTTTGGAATATATAAGAAATAAAATAGATAAACCGTATTGATGGTTACCGGTGGTTACACTCCTAAAGGTTAGGGGAGGCTACTCTACCCTAAACTTTAGATGAAGTGTATTAGATAAAAAAGGATGAAGTTATTAACGCTTAAGAAGCGGTCAAGTAACCAACGATTAGTGCTAGGAAAATTCATATACACGGGAAGACGACAAAAAGACAATATCCAGAAAGATAAGGAGATACAAAAAATCGCAAATACGAGGTATAAAGTAGAACTTCTACAACAATTTAGTACTCGAAAACTATATCAGAATAGGCTACAGATAACGAAGAATGGACCCACTAAATGCTCTAAGTTATCTTCTATCGAAGTTGGAACATCATGGCTATGCGGACTCTGTTGACTGCCGCTCTAAAAAGTTCTGCACTACTGCATTTCAAACCATTCCCTTAAGTTCTTAAGCCAGGATATTCTTCGTCTTCCCACATTTCGCTTTCCTCGGATTTTGCCCTGCATAATAAGTTGTAATAATGCGTATTTTTGCCCTCTCATCACATGTCCCAAGTAGTCAAGTTTTCGTCTTTTAATAGTTAATATTATTTCCGCCTCATTTCCTATCCTTCTAGTTACTTCCATGTTTGACATTCTTTGAATCCATGATATTCGTAGGATTCTTCTGTAACACCAAAATTCAAAGGCGGCCAGCTTATTCAGATGAACTTGTTTTAGTGTCCAAGCTTCCAGACCATAAAGAAGAGTAGAGAACACGTAACATCGAAGCATTCTCAGGCGTAGTTCTAACCTTATATCCCGACAACAAAGAAACTTTTTAAGTTTAATAAATGATGTACGTGCTATTTCAATACGTGTCTTAATTTCTTTGGTTTGGTCTACATCTGATGTTATCCATGTTCCTAAATATTTATAGTTATTAACATTCTCAATTGCAGTATCTTCAATAGTCAATTGGATATTTGCATGTGCAGATTTAGTCATGATCATGCATTTAGTTTTCTTTAAATTTATCTTCAGTCCGTACTCATGACAGCGTTCATTAAGGCGTTGCATTAGGTTCTGTAAATCATTGTTGTTATCCGTAATTATTACTGTATCGTCTGCAAAACGTAAGTTATTCAAAACTTCTCCATTGATAGATATACCTTCTATTGAGTCTGAGAGCGCTTCTTGAAATACCGCTTCACTGTAGACATTGAAAAGTAGTGGGGACAGCACGCAACCCTGGCGGACTCCTCTCTGTATTTTGATATTTTCGGTGTACTGGCTGTCAACTCTTACCTTGGCAGTTTGATTCCAATATAAATTAGATATAATTTTCAGATCACGACTGTCAATATTTTTGCTTTTTAATATATCTACAAGCTTTTTATGTTGAACTTTATCAAATGCCTTTTCAAAGTCTACAAAACATAAGTACATATCCTGATTCATGTCCATGCATCTCTGAGTACTCATACCATTTCTAAAGCCAAATTGTGTGTCACTAATCTCATATTCAAGAGTTTTAACAATTCTGCTGTGAATTATTTTCAAAAATGTTTTAAGTGTGTGACTCATTAAAGCTATTGTTCTGTGGTCTGAGCAAGTTGTTGAACTTGGTTTTTTGGGAATTGCTACAAAGGTTGATTGCAGCCATTGTCTGGGGATTGTGGCAGTCTGATATATTAGATTAAAGAGTTCAACCATTACATCAATAACATCTTCATCGATGAGTTTTAATAATTCGATGGGCACCTCATCTGGTCCAGTAGCTTTACCCTCTTTTGTGTTTTTGATGGCATAGATGACTTCTTATCTTAATATTGGTGGTCCAGTATCCTCGGTGATTTCTAATGACAGTTCTTCTCTTTCATCATTAAATAGTTGTTGAATGTAATTGGTCCAGTGACATAATCTCTCCTTCATATCAGTAATAATATCCCCTTTATCATTTTTAAGGATATTCGTTTTTGTACGCTTTCTAGAACCTGTCATTTCTTTGATTTTTTTGTGTAAATTAAAGCTATCGTACTTTTTATCCAGATCTTCTATTTCCTTGCATCTATCGGAGAGCCACCTCTCTTTTGCCTCTCGAATTTTCTTTCTGATGTTTCTCTGAATTTCTTTGTAATTATTCAGGTCTTTTGCTCTATGTTTTCTTCGTTCTTCCATGAGTTCAAGAATTTCTACTGTCATCCAAGGTTTTGTTTTTTCTTTAAGTGGTTTGAGGTTTCTTTTCCAACTGACACAAGGGCATGTTGAATTTTTCCCCATTTTTGGTCAATAGTTAGAGTTGTAGCTGTTGGTAGAACAGAAATGTATCAACACCTAAAGGAAAAAATAAACAAAGCGGCAAACGAAGTGATGGGTATTGAACAACATAAGAATACATATTTGTATATATATATATATATATATATATATATATATATATATATACATATATATATATATATAGAAAAGAAATTTAATCTTTGCAGATAAGTTAAATAGTAAACTCTTAAATATTGGGGAAATCTGCAAAAAAAAACTCGAATGTGTATCAATTATTTCACCTAACGTTTTCGCCAAAGAGAATTTGGCTTCTTCAGGGCTGAAAGAGAATAAATTATAATTAGCTACCATATATTATCTAATAAAAAACATTTACCTTACCGTGAAATTTTAGAAATGTCGAGTTATGATGTTAAAAAACTTTAGCTAGTAACAACATAGTGGTGTTTTTTTGTTACTATGTGCAAAAAAGTTTATTTGTTAACGTTGGAAATGTATGGTAGCTTTGAACTTAAAACGCAAAGGGTTACCCAAGGACAATCGAAAAACCCAATGTAACTACAATTACTTCCTTTAAATGTCTTATTTTTTAAACATAATATTCTTATTTTGAGTTGTAAACTAAGGTCTTTACTGCATAATACTTTTTTCATCTTATTAAATGTTGCTCTGGCTTGTCCAATTCTCATTTTTATTTCTTCTGTATACTCGTTATTTTCATTAATAATTGTACCAAGATATCTGTATTTTTTTACTTTTTCTATTGGGACTCCTCTTATGTTTAAAATGTCTTGTTGTTGTGTTTTGGAAATTGTCATAAATTTTGTTTTATTAGCCTTAAGCTTTAGTCCGCTTTCCTCACTAGCATTTACTACATTATCTAAAAGTGTCTGTAGATCTTGTATATCCTTTGCAATTAGTATAGTATCATCGGCATATCTGATATTGTTGATGGGTCTGCCATTGACTTTTATTCCAATTGTTACATTTTCGAGTGATTTTTTAATTATTTCTTCCGAATATAGATTGAACAATAAGGGGGAGAGTATGCAACCTTGCCTTACGCCTCTTTTTATCTCTACTTCCTCCGAAAGTTCTCTGTCGACTCTGACTTTTGCTGTTTGGTTAAAGTAGAGATGAGTTATTATTCTTAAGTATTTTTTATCAATGTGTTTCTCTTTAAGTAACTGTCGAAGACGGTTGCGTCGGACCTTATCGAACGCCTTATTATAATCAATAAAATAAACATAGAGTGGTTGTGTGGTTGTGAGAGAACCCTACTACACTTTTGCGGTCTGGAGCACACGGGGGGGGGGTTATGCCACTTTGTTTAGGAAGGGTTAATTTTAGTTTAATTAAATTTAAAAAAAATTAATGACTACAATAAGTCTAAAAATAAAGGTAAAACTTCTTACAAAATTAAACTATTAGTGAAAAAATGACACTTTTTATTTTGTACAACCTGTCTGAAATTCTGAGTGAGGTTAGTGCAACTGATTTTCCTTAGGGAGCCGAGATGTTCATCTATCAACCGAGGTCTGTACCGATTTTTTAATAAAGTTATTTTGGAAAAGCGACTTCGAACACATAAGACGAGCCAAACATAGTAGACAGTTTCATTGCCAATGATTTTAGTTCTGGATATTTTTTGTCACACATTTTACTCCAAAATTTGTCACAGACAAGCGTTTCTGGAACTTGAGTATAAACCTCTCTTAAAGCGAAATCTCCCTGATACTCGATCATTTCCATCTGAAGGGCAGCTTTGTTACTGTTCCCTATTGTAGTTTGCTAACAGATTATTTTTAGATAGGTACTACCATTGATTATAAACCACTACCATACTAGGTAGTGGTTTATAATCAATGTTACTACCTGTAATTTAGGAAAACCGTTTACTCGAAACATATTGTTTAAATTACGAGTATTTCTGTATAGTATTAGTATTGTGCATTTTAAAAATGTAAAGATATTTATATATTTAGATTTAATTATAATTTTAACTATAATTTTTTACTATATTTTGAATTTAACGGCGATCCGCAAAAAACAAGCTCACGGTCCGGATGCGAAGCGCAGTCCGCCATTTGGTGACCCCTGACCTACACCATTTTTGTGATGCGGGTCTTCTGTGCTGTTATCGGAGTAATATAATACCGTTGATTGAAATATTATAATACACTACCGTTCTTTTGACATGTCCCTGACTCTGGCCATCTTAATTGCTAATTCACAGTATATTTTCATTCTATTCATTTCTTTAATTGCATTGTCAAGTTTTTCAGCAGCAAGTAGACTTGCATAAATTATTGGGTCAAATTTAATGTAGCACAGCTCAAATTAAAGCTATCTTTATCAACTTTCATTCAATATTCTGCACATTTTACCCAAGATATTGATTTGATACAATAAAAATAATAATAATCAAGAACACCGTGTTTTGCATCTTAAAATTGTCATAAAAAATTATAACCAGTGAG